GTTTCTGTATGACAAAAGATTTAAAAACCTGGGACCTTTCAGCCTGGAAAAGATAAATAAGGGAGTGTGGCGTAGTGGGGGTGCTGTCTGCTCTGTAACCCGGGGTCCCTCTGTGCTTTGAGGTGTGATTCCCACTGACTCACCCACATGTTGTGATGTAGTGTCAGTACCTTGCTGGTTGCTGTGCTTGGGTTGTGGGCTGTGAATGCCCCCTCCCAGCCTCTGCCTGTGAACACTGCCCAGCAGGTGGGCTGCTTAGTCAGGTAGACAAAGACGCAACCAGTCAGAGGAGTCGGGGCAGCCAGGAAACTAGGGAAGTGAGTGTTCAGGGGAAGGGTCAGTCTTGGGCTGGAATCATGAAGGAACCAGTCTAAGGAGGGGGCTGGAATCTAGGGCCCCAGGGACCCCCTCTCAAGGGGTCTGAGGCATCCTGGCCCAGACTCCTGAAGACTCATCACGTCTATGCTGTGCTGAATCCTGGAGAAGCAATAAATCCCCTCTATTCTACCAGCTGGCGGAGTCTGTTCTTGCTGCTACGGGGGTGCAGTGTTGGGGAACCCCTACACGTCATCACGGGGGGATATGATAGAAGCCTATAAAACCAGGAATAGTGTTGGGCAAGTGCTTTTGCATAACATAAGAACCAAGGATCACCCAATGAAATGAATAGGAAGCAGGTGTAAACAAACAAAAGGACGTACTTCTTCTTCCCACTGCTTCCTTGGGTTCTGAAACGTATTCCAACACAGATTTTCATTTTCTTCCCATTTTAGTGTGTTACATCATTATCTGCTATTAGTTTGAAATGTGTACGTGAAGGACATGAGATTCAGCGGTTTGTTCAGATGCACATACATATCAGAGTTTGTGTGCATGCTTGTCTGTTTATTGTGTGCATCTTCTACTACACTTTCTCTTATTTCAACAAAAACAACAGGGAGTCCTGTGGCACCTTAAAGACTTAGGGTATGTCTACACTACCCCCCTAGTTCAAACTAGGGGGGGTAATGTAGTCATACAGAGTTGCAAATGAAGCCCGGGATTTGAATTTCCCGGGCTTCATTTGCATAAAGCCGGCCGGCGCCATTTTTAAATGCCAGCTAGGTCGGACCCCGTGCCACGCGGCTACACGCAGCACGGACTAGCTAGTTCGGATTAGGCTTCCTAATCCGAACTAGCTGTACACCTCGTTCCACGTTCCTCATTCCACGAGGCGTACAGCTAGTTCGGATAGGAAGCCTAATCCGAACTAGCTAGTCCGTGCCGCGTGTAGCCGCGTGGCACGGGGTCCGACCTAGCCGGCATTTAAAAATGGTGCCGGACGGCTTTATGCAAATGAAGCCCAGGAAATTCAAATCCCGGGCTTCATTTGCAACTCCGTATGACTACATTACCCCCCCTAGTTCAAACTAGGGGGGTAGTGTAGACATACCCTTACTGATTTACTAGGGAATAAGTTGTCATGGGTAAACCCCATATCTGATGACACGGGTTTTATCCACAAAGCTTATGCCCTAATAAATCTGTTAGTCTCTACAGTGCTACAAGACTGCTCATTGTTTTGCAGATACCAACTAACACGGCTACTCCTCTGAGGCCTTACTTCAACAGGCAGCTTTGCATATATACACCCACTAATGTCTGATCATAATATACATTGATAATGCAATATATTGTGTTTTTCTAATAAAACAAGTTTTTATCTATTGGAATGATAAAAAGTAGAGTGGGAGTCAGAAAAAAAAGAATAATGCTGTTTGTAAAATCCAGGGCATTTTCAGTAAAAATAGATGTAAACTGAACACAATGGAACTTATGGATGTAGAGCAAATTGACCCTTGAGGGCATGCTGACCTCTGATGGTCATTGCTAGACAGACAAGCTAAAAAAATACAGAATACTTTTCCCTTTGTTACAAGATTTATACATGGATTCCTGAGCTTCACAACACTCGGGTGGTAGAATTGTTACGCTCACCCCTAGTTTATAGACACCACAGAGAGATTAGTTATTTTCGTGATCTGGGGGAAAATATGTGGCAGAACCATGCATTATCATGAGCATTGGACATTTTCAGCCAAGATCAGGGCTGTGAGAGGTTCTCCCATCATTATAGGTGAACTCCCACACTTTCCTTATTAGAAAAGGAAGAATGTGTCCACATCCTTACTATAATGGGGGCTCCAGAACTGGCTGTAACACTCCAGATGTGGCCTCACCAGAGCCGAATAAAGGGGAACAATCACTTCCCTAGATCTACTGGCAATATTCTTCCTAATGCACCCTAATATGCCGTAAGCCTTCTTGGCTATAAGGGCCCACTGTTGTTGACTCATATCCAGCTTCTTATACACAGCATGGAGCCACTGTGTTCTGTTTTATGCCCTTAGTCCATGTGCTTGGACAATGCAAATCCAGGCATATCTGGTGGGCACAGCTGAGTCCCCAGGCAAGGTTGAGCATTTCGCCTGCTGCAGCCTCATTTTATGTCTGGTATTTTCTCAATTTGTTTCCTGGACAGAACCCTCAAATACTGGACTGTCCTGTTCAAAACCAGACTCTTGGCAACCAGGGCCGGCCCCCGGGCGCAGGGCACATGTGCAGGCCCACCCGTCCAGGCATATCTGGTGGGCACAGCTGAGTCCCCAGGCAAGGTTGAGCATTTCGCCTGCTGCAGCCTCATTTTATGTCTGGTATTTTCTCAATTTGTTTCCTGGACAGAACCCTCAAATACTGGACTGTCCTGTTCAAAACCAGACTCTTGGCAACCAGGGCCGGCCCCCGGGCGCAGGGCACATGTGCAGGCCCACCCGTGAGGTGTGAGCCCGTCCCCGTCCCCCAGCATGCACGGGCCCGCCCCCGGGGCGCACGGCGCATGTGCT